ATTCGTTAGTCATGAACAATAATAGATATATGCAAATGAATTCCAATCATATCAGTAAGCATTAGAACCCCTAGAAAAGCTAACGTCTCATGAATGTCAACTGAAAAGCCTTCATAATTTAATCCAAGGGTCAGTGGCTTCATGGTATCATACTACTTTTTACTGTAAAGCAACCTACTTCTTTGGTCGCTAGAAGAACATATCAAGATAAGTAGTGGTTAAATATGTTAACACTTATCCCAATCAACTCATTCTATGAAGTGCCGTATTTTGAAGAGTCAAGTCCCCAATTTTTCCAAAATCCTAAACCTAGTTTTTGCACCAATCGATTGTTTAGTTATATGTGGGAAATGATTTAAAGAAAACCATAATTGTAACTGACGAATGCCTTTTACCGTCTACAGTCATATATCACTGCCATGAACTAACTCAGAGTTTATTACGGTTAGCCTTTTAATAACTTTACGCTAACAAACAGAATGTTCATTTTGATTGAGATATTTTGGGTTTACTACGATGTAATTAGCTGAGCTCCAGTCGTTGTTGTTACTTTGACGTGATGATCAGGCTTGTCTATGGTGTTGACACAATCGAGTCATATTGACTAAAATACATGTCATACCACACCAGACAGTTCAATTGGAGAGTGTGAGATTAGAAACACTAAAGTCATAGTTTGAAAGCGAATTTATACTGCTGATTGTATTGGGATGTGACGGAAGTAAGGTGATTGTCCATCAGACAACCAGCATCTAATGTGATAGTGTCTTACCACAACGGAAGGAGAGGTGACGTTTAAAAATATCACGTCTCACCTAGTTGTCTCATGATAACTCTTTAAAACTACACACCTAACACATCAACAACTACTTTCAAAGGGTTTAGGGATCAGCCTCCAGTATATGTCCCATGAGCTCTGTGATCACATTCACAGTTCATTGACACTACTACTACTAATTCAGTTTATTCCATGTCTAAGAAAGAGAAGTATGCATTTAGGATATGAGTGACTAAGAAGTGATAAATACTTTCATATATCTGACAGTAATCGATATCACTTTGTTTACATTACCTATTGAGAGGTCTACGCGATGATTGTAGTCAACCGTTGCAGAAATATCCATTTAGTTTATCAGTGACCGGGAACTGAGTACCGCCCACATAACACTAACAAACTTAATCAATTGAGTTAAGTCATCAATGAAACATGTTTAAACAAGTAACATTTTAAGAATATATTGATTAACTATGCAATACCATATATTATCATTACTTCAAACAATTAGTTATAATGATAGTTTTACATCTTGTTATTATGTAATAAGTATTATACTGATTATAATTAACATCAATCAAGTAAATAATCTTTCATCAAGACCTTTATATTCCAGAATATTCTTTCATCTGTAACTAATAATTTAGCCCGGAATCAGATGTGTTCATTTCTTATTAGTATGTTAATCATATGTACAGATTAGGTTGGAGAATGCTGGTCGGTGGCCTATGTTCCGTTGGCAGTAATAGTCAGTCAGTCAGCTGCAACGTAGGACCAGGCACGTATATCCATCGGTCCAAGTTGCCATACCGCATTAGCACAACAAAATGAACACCGGATTCATAGAAGTAGTTAATTCAGTGGTGGTAATATATAGAAGAAAGAGTGTGTATAAGGAGATAGTAAAGGAAGAAAGAATTAGTTCGTAGAAAGAAAGATTTGAAGTGATTTTAATCTCTTAGTTTAAAGGAAGACAGAGAGTGTATACACCGACGCCATTGTGATCGATTCTGAGCCATGTCACCAAGAGTCTCCAACCATTGGTTACGATAGTCACGCGGACCCCAACCAGGTAGTCTGCATCTACCAACATGGCTCAGACCAGAAGTTAGTGACTTCAAGCACTGGTGCCACGTTTTGGTTTGGCCGCCCCTAACTTTCTTCCAGTCATCCCTAACACCGGTTACCATTGCGCGTCGCGGTAATCGGTGTTCAGGCATACGCAGCACGTGGCTCAATCATCTCAGTCGATGAAGGTTCATAACCTCATCAACTGATTTACCGTCATTCCCTAATACCCTGCGTCTAACCTCACTATTACTTACCTGGTGATCGCAGCAGATACCCGCAATATTTCTAAGGCATGTGTGGTCAAATACTAGTAACTTACGAATATCTTCTACTCTTAAAGGCCAAGTTTCGCAGCCGTATAGTAGAACGGAACGAACTGCCACGCAGTATAGATAGACGGATATCTCGCCTTCGCCATAGATGACGTAAGTTGGCAAAGGCCAAACGAGCTTTTCGAATCCGTGCTGAGATTTCGTCAGACACCAACCCATTAGGGCTGATCAGACTTCCAAGATAAGTGAAGTTGTCGACGCGTTCGACTACTTCACCCCCTATCCTTAGTTCAGGTGTTGATGCAGACCAGTCCTGAAGCAACAACTTACATTTAGAGGGAAAGAAGCGCATCCCAAACATTCTGGCATTGTTACTCAGTGC